ACTTGGCTAATATTTGACATATTTTAACATATTAAGTAATATATTATTTAATATTTTAATTTGTATATGCACATTTATTTTTTTCTCGGATGTGTTTGGTTTACAAATTTATTAACGAATGTCATTCTCGGATTGTATGCAACACTTCTTATTGGGCTTCGCTGATATTGTCTTCAGCAATAAAAATTAAGAATGATAATTGTGCATCTATAAGTGTGATATCTATTTTTCATATATATATATTTTTCTACGCTAGGATGATCATCACGAAATCAAGTTGGAAGTATAGGCGATTAATCCGAGATTTGTCGTACATTTTACGTAAGATTATAAAACGAACGAATTAAAGCAAGCTATTTGATAGGCTCTATACAGATTTTGTACTAACAGGATCATACGCAGACTTACCGTACAATACAAGTAAACTTATACAAACGTCGCGGAGATATGCCAAGCTCGACATTTTACATACCAATAGACGTACACACACACCACCAGAGAATTGTGTCGATTGAATTGTGTTGATCGGCCTAAGGCCAATGGATCTGTCTCCTTTGATCCGCGCGAGAGTTTGATTCCCTAAATAAATGCAACGTCAACTTAACAGCCACAGCCAGGTCGGTCTTCCTCCAGCGGCGTTGATGATAAAGAGCACCTTATCATCCGTGAAACCGTCAGTAAATCGCGCACAGCGCGAAATTATCGTGACGATAACAATCCTTCTCCTTTCTCTCTGTGTTCTTTCGATAGGCCTGATCTCTTCGAGCTGCAATTTCCCTTTTGAGGACCTGACCGACGCCGAGGATTCGCTAGTGAGCGACACGGAGGACAATATCGGTATCCACATGCCTGCCACATCTACATAACGTCTGATGATTTACCACAATCGGGGGTAGAAATGAGAAAGTATCGCGTCTGTCTAGAGTATCTCTCTTAAAAAGGGATACTCCTTTCCGCGTCCTTGAATATAACTCCCGGCTTAGATCTTGTACTTACGTCACTGTGTCGTAAAATATTATTGAGAACTGTTTCCATCAACGACAAGGCCAGACGTATACAGGATGTTCTCTATTACTCGCATCAACTATATATACATATATTGCAAAAGATATTGCGGATATATGAAAGAGAGCGGTTTTGCTGAAACGAGAGCATTTCGATCAAAATCAATCGATGTTATTCGTTTGAATTCATTTCTTCCGAATGATCAGTTTTTATCCAATTTAGATTACTGTTGATACATTGAATGAATTGTTCTCTACAAAGCATCCTGTATATAATGGGAAAGAAAAGATTCAACATGGCAAGTGCATGAGTCTGGCGAAACGACAGTACTATAATTCACTTGAAATGAAAATGACCCCGAGTTCATTTTCATGAACGAAACGCGCACATGAACGTACAGCATTTCGTAATTGTCGCTATCGATCAGTCCAGTTTCGTGATTATCCTCGTTTGAGGCAATATAGTGGACGTTCTACCCCCTGTGTGGTATCGTTATATTAGTTTGAGAACGTGTAGTGTCTGCATAGACACTCAATCTATCGTGCGATAGCAGTATTCCTGTGATATTATTGTGCAGGTCGCGTAGTAACAGATATTTGTTGTGCCATCGAGGGGAAGTGAGCGAGAGAACGACTCCTTCCCCTTTTTTTTCTGTTCCCACCTGCCCCGTCGTCTGCGTGTCTGATTTTGTAATGCGCGAATTTTGTAATGACGTACGCTCTGCTTCATCGTTGTAGGATTGGGACAAGTCTTTGACAAAATTGAAGGGTTCGTTACGAATCGTTATTAAATTATTTCATTTTATTGATATATATCCTTATAGAAATCTAAACTTGCCAATACTGAAAGGCAGTAATTATTTACTTATTTCCAATATTTAAGAGCACTGTTGTGCAGTATTGTATTTTTAGTATTTAAAAGTAAGTAATTAATTACTTTTAGTGATACATGAGTCAATACTAAAATGACAGTATTAGATTTCTTATAAGGATATAAATATAACTTTTTAAAATAAAACTAAACGTTAGTCTTTTATTTATATTTCTGGTCTATGTTTACTAGAAATCAAAGCTACTGGGCCAATCCAATCCGCAGCAGGAAATTCCCTTGAATAAACGTAGCCATTTTTTTTTTAAAGGAATGTCGAAAATATAGAAATCAAATACGGATATTTCTACAATAACCTGAATTCGGACAGTGACCGAATTTATTCTGTGGCTTTCGAGTTCACCCGTAACACGTATCAGTTTCAGATTGAATTGCTCAAATCGACTGCTGTCTCCATATCGCAATCATGAGTATATACAATATTTTGATAGTTAATTATTATTTACCGTGAATAATATGTACATTAATTATTATATCAATAAACGTGTATCCACCTCGAAGGGTACAAATTTTAGGAAAAAAAATATTCTATTGTAGAAGATAAAATTAATAATGAATATAAAAATTAGTTAATTTTATTCTACAATATTAAAATAAATTACATAATTCTATATGGATTATCCAGCGTTAAAATTTATACAATATGTTATATTTATTATTATTACAATCGGTAAATGCAGTTGCACAACAGTGATTAATTTTATGTATATTATTGATATGTAATGTGTGTTGTTGATAATGTTGAACAGTTATCTTTTCCGAATTGAAGTTTTTATCATATTTTTGACAGAAATCTTATTCTTATTTTTTCTCTCGTACTTGTAATAATTAGGTATATTTTTGTTAAACGTAACAAACCCTTCAATCGATTTATCTATTTCTGAGTCTGGTTACGTGAACCAATTACCCGCGTTATTTGGGCCTGTTTATGTCGTTGTTCGTAGCGGTAGACTAGCCTGTGTGTCTGCGTGTGTCTGTCTATTTGTATGCCGCTTTGTGTTTGTCTTTCATCACTTATCGATGACAAATTGAAACTAGTCGTCACGTCAGAGAATACTATTTTGTTACGAATGTCTGCGAAACGTTTATTTATACCACGAGAAAGGCAAACGCGATAAAATGCAAACGTAACATTTTCCTCGATTGAACACACACACACACACACACACACACACACACACACACACACACACACACACA